AAAAACATCCATGCTATTCCTTAAGAGTTCTTATCCTCTTTATTAAAATCGCAAATTACCAACTTACCTCCAGTGACTGCATTAGTGTTGGTTTAATGGCATCCTTCATCAGAACAGCTAAAGCTCCAGTTACACCCTGTGAGAGAGCACAGCTAAAATAAATTACAATAAGGAATGACAATATTTTCAATGCAAACTTCATTTTGCTTCATCTGAGGCACTTACCTACACAGAAAACCATTCAATAACTTTGATATAAAGATAATAAACGCTGTGGATATTCCAGTGCCATCCCCTTAAAAAGGCAGCAATATGTTGATTAACATTTGATTTTAGCTTAGGTTTAGCTTCTTCAAGGATCCACTTTTCAATAGGACCAAAATCACATTTGAAAAAGCAGCATCAGAGGATTAGAACACTGTTTAAAGCACTTTTGAATTTTTAAATCAATATAGATTGTGTCAATTTGCTACATTATTTTCTGTTTATTTTCTGAATACAGAGAAAATCTTCAGAGAACCACAACAGATAAACATCCAGGAGTGAGTTTAAAGTGACTCCATATTTTTTCATTGTTAAACTCAATGTTTGGAATTTTGTGCCACTACAGCTCTTAAGAATAAATGTTCTAAATTGAAATCTGCAAAAAATTTGGAAGGGTGAAACATTTTACAAAATCAGAAACTTTACTGTCAAACATTTCATATAAATCACATTTTTTACAATCCAAGGTTTCTCAACCTCTTTTAAAATAGTCTAAATATAGTTTTAACATTTTTGAAAACCGTTGACAGAAAAAAAAAACATTCCACACAATATACGAATTACAGGTAAAAAAACATCTGTTTTTTTATTTCAGGTGTTTCAAACTTTATTTATTTTAATCTTTATGAAGGCAACTCAAACTCAAAATAGTGCTCAGATATGGCTCAAATTCAGAAGCATTTAAAATACTAGCCAACTGGGAAGTTGTCAACAGGACATATTCCACAAAAGGTGGATTTCTTTACTTCCTGTACAATTTCCAACTCCAGCTCGTCATAGATCACCCTACATCACTTGAATTTAGAGAATATTAGTAACTTACAAGTGTTCCTTTGACTGAGTAAGAAGTGCTGCTATAGGAACACTTGTCTTTTAGTGATAATTTAAATAAAATGTGACCTTCAGCTCTTAATTTCTTAATTCAACAAATCAAAGTTCAATCACGTTAAAGTGACCACATTGCAATCGCTCTATACCTTTGGAAATTGATACTTTGCCTAGCAGTGAATTAGTTTATAATTTGCCTACTTATTAACCCTGCACTGCTAGAGACCCCTGCTGCTGGAGTTTAGCTGAACTTTTGTAGTTATGCCGTCACTAGCAATTTGTGGAATAATACAGCAATTTCCTCAATTTGTTATACTGGAAAACTGTAATTTCAACAAATTCATGCTTTACCTGAAAATGTTAGACCAGAGGTAGGGGGTGCTTTCTTTATAACACATTTAATGCAATTAACTTGCCTGGATAAGAATCTATTTCAAACCAATTCTTACCAGGCCGAGGTCTAATTGACCGCTACAGAGTCAGCCTTGCAAACACCACAGAGGGAATTAACCACAATTTGGAGAATTCTGTATCCGGACATATTGATTTAATAAGAAATATAAGAGGAGGATGTCAGGAATAATCTACAGTGGCCAAAATCGCCAAGATACAGGCAAGCATGTGTAAAGTATGGTGTTACATATATACCATCTGCTTCTCAAGGACTGCCATAGATTTTAAGAATGCTCTAGACTCTCAAATGCAGACCACGATTAATTGCTGCTTTTGACTTATAGTATTACTTACTGCCTCTGACTTCTGTGGTTTTCTTCAGTTCACAGCAGCAATCTGGCTTCAAACAGCAAACTATCAAAATATTTGGTCTCCCACAGTAAATTAGAGACATTACTGTTTTCTTTTGCTTAAGACCAAGACTGAATTGCTTATTACAACTTTCAGGGTCGTGGCAAATCTTTGGGGCAATGTTTGCATTATAAGCTCTCAAAAAGAAAGCAATAATAAAAGCAGGTATGCTTTATGAGATGAACTTGTATTTAAAACATCAATTCATAATGCTAGAGGAAATTGGGTTCAGATGTAGGTCTAGAGTGCTGGTGAGCCTGTGACACTGAAAACAGATGTCAGAGGTTTTTGTCAGAACCCACAACTTAGCCCACCCTGTTTCCAAAGCCTACAATTGAATCTTTTTGTCAGCCTTTGGCCATCTTTATTATCCACCAAGAACCAAGATTAAATATTACTTCCATCCCTCTTTCCAGCTTTATCCAGTATAGTGTCACAGGGAAAACCGGAGCCTATCTCAGCAAGCAAAGGGCGCGAGGCAGGATACACCCTGGATGGGACGCCAGTCCATCACGGGGCACACACACACAAAAATGCACCCACTCAGACCGGGGCCAATTTTCCCAGAAGTCAGTTAACCCACCAGTATGTTTTTGGATTGTGGGAGGAAATTGGAACAGACTTGGAGAGAACATGCAAATCCCTCACAGAGAGCACCCCAGCAATTGGTTCCAAGATTGAAAAGCAGCAATGCTAACCAACGTACCACCATGCCACCTCATCACCAACATTGTTTCTTCCTCAGTCATGACCTCTTCCTGATTTTGACACATCTGATGTGGTTGCAGACTAGCATTTTTGCCCCCCTTGAAAAAGGTATGGACTTAAGTTTACCTCTTGATATCAATACAAAAATGAACACCACCATAAACATTTACTAATTGAGATTCAGGATACTCGGGACTAAAATAATTAAATATCGATGTTCAGCATGTAAAAGGTGCAATAATTTAAGGAACAAAATGTCCTCAGGGAAAGATAAGTGGGAAAAGTAGTTCAGGTGGGTAGCTGCGTCAGCATGCGTAGGCTGCAAAGGAAGGTTTATAGGTTTATAGGTAGGTTTAGGTTTATTCCATGCTGAAAAGAGAAGAGAGAAAACACGACATTTCGGCTGTGAAGCCTTCTTCAGGTGTGAGAAAGACAGGGCAGACAGCAAAGATTAAATGGCACAGAAGAACAAAAGCTGGGAGAGGGGAGGAGGCAGGAGGGGCAGAGAGGCCACTCAGGAAGTGCAAAGTGGAGAGGGGTGAAGAAAGGTGTCAAAACCTGCATGAGACTAGAGAAGATTACGCAAAAATAAATTGGTCATTGAGAGAAGGGAGACGGCGTGAACCTAGTTTCAGGGTGAGTTAACCTGGTAACCTGATAAGTGGAAAAGAATGGTGGAAGCACAACAGCAGTACTGAAAACCCTACATGATGGTTTTCACAATAACCAAAGAAATCAGTAAATAGACCATCACACAGTTGTAGCAAAAAAATAAATAAAAATTGATTACAATCAGACCAGGTAAAAACAGAATATAGAAAGTTACTTAAAACTGTAATGAGTAGATAAAACGCATCTCGAGTCTACTGAGATGCGTGACCAGTAAAAGGAGCACATCTGGAACACAGAGTGAGCCCTGTAGTCCACACATCTCTGGTTCAACTCTGGGTACTACATCACTCAGTTGTCATCCCAGTCCCCAGGCAGTGGTGCTCAACTATGTACCAAGTGGCAGCTGGAGTGAGTGTACTCCACATCACATACAAAATCAGCCCCCGTGTGACTAACGCAAAGCCTGTTCCAGGAAAACAGAGGGCTGTGGGTTCAGTCCCAATGCACATACTAGTTGTATCCTGAATTGCTCTATAACAACTAAGTTGTATAAAGGAATGACAGCATTCCTGTAAGGTTAACTTGTAATGGAATGTCACCCCAGGAACAGATGAAAGGACCACGTAAAGACAAAGATTCACAGACCTTTAAGAGAGAAATTCTGCGCTGTTATGCACTGCAATAACTAAAGTCATATACATTACAGTAGAGACAAAGGGGCCTCAAAACACTTTTAAAGAACAGCATTCTTAATCATTGCTCGGACATTCTATGAGTTGTCTTGAACAGATCCTAAGCTTCCATCAGACTGCGATTTTCCAACATTTTCAATTGTCTCATCAAACCAATTCTCATGCAGATCTCTGAATAATGGATGTGTAATTTCAAAATGGTGTATTATCATTTAAAATCCTTATTTTATAGCATATATATGCATTAGTTGTAAGATCAGACATTACATTGTTCAGCACTTCTAAGTGTATATTTTTATAGTGAATAGGGTTGTTTTTATTACAAACTCCAATTATCTTGTTTTTTGGTTGATGTTGCTGTACAACTGTTGATATGGTTATACTGTCACTAGGAGTTCACTGGTCAGACTGACCTTTGTATTTTATGACTTTCCACACTCACATGCACTACCATGTGAGAAAGAACTTGTGTGACCAGAAACCAGCCACAGAAATCCATGAAATCCACTTCATTGGTTGTTAAACCTTTGAAAAGACTCAGGTGTGACCAGGGAAAAGGGCATACTGTAAATTTGAAAGACGCTTCTCAATGGAAAATTGTACTAGTAATAACTAGTAAAATTCATACATTTTTAGGAATCATTTACATTGCAAGACAAAAGCTACAGTCCTCCATCTTTTAACCAATTCATCTGATTTAGGTTCTGGGTGCAAGTAAGGGTACCGCCAGTCCAGCACAGGGCGCACAGAGACACTCACACCTGAACCAATTTTTGTCATAAGGCAAGTAACCTACCAGTATGCCATTGTACTGTGGTAGGAAACGGGGACAACTGGAAGAAACCCAAGTGAACACAGGGAGAACATACAAACTCCATGCGGAGAGTGCCACAGGTCCTGAACTGAACCCATGGCCCCAGCACTGTAAGGCAGTAATGCTAACAACTGAGCCCCCATTCCACCCCAAAACTAAAGCCCTTAGTCTTTAGTCTAAAGCCCTCACTCTTAACTTTAGAGAATAAACTCAAAGATTAAAGCCCTTAGTGTTAACTCCAGAAAAAGTCCAAGCTCCAAGGTCTACTTAGAGTAGCTACTTAACAACATAACCATTAAAGGTACTTGACTGACGCACTGTTGAGTCAGTTAAGAGTCTGGGATATGTCATTAGCTGAATACTACCACAGCTCCAAAAGCAGTAGGTACATACTAAGCAGTTTGCTGAGCAACGGCATGCCCTCTGGCATGTTTGCATGTAGCATTAACTATTCTGATCCTGTCCTCCTTAGTCTTCCAATAAATGCTCCCTTGTTCACATAGACGCTGAGAGGCATTCAGTGCAACAAAATGTAGAAGGTTTGACAGTGCATGCTGTGAGGAAAAAAAACATGCACCATCGTCATCTGCCCCTGTGCTCATACTCATAAAAAACGGTAATTATCAAGTACCACTTACTTAATTTGGTTTTTCAGTAATCAGGTCTGATTGAACAATTCTGTGTTGAGTAAAGTGGGTTTTAACCTTCAGTTAAGCTAAACATGCTTTTGTATCTTCTCTCGGTTTGCTTACAGCATCTGCTTAAATAAAATTAAAAGCATACAATACTAAAATACTAATATGGGATGGTCAAGTTCTATTGAAAGAGAATACAAAGTTCATACTACATTTATAAAAGGAACAGTTTTAGAAAAACTTAAATTTTGACTTATTTATTAAACCTTCTTTGCCTTCTTCACGTCCCTGACCTTTTTACTATCATAAGCACCTACAGTATCTATTCCGCCATTAGTGAACATAGAATGGATTTTCAAAGAATATATCAATGTCCTCCAAGAAAAGGACACTTAGTGAAAGCTGAACAGTGTTTTTGCAGCCAGTATTTCCATCCTATTCAATGTATTCCATGCCAAGAATGCTTATTGCACGAAATAAACCCAGCAGCAATGTTGGAATTTAAAATAAATAAAAAAAACGGGAGAATTTTCAAATCAACTGATAATATATTGACTGGTTAATCTTTTAACCTGCATCGACTGGCAGACCAGCCCCATGACTAAACGAATCAATGAGCTCCATTCCGACATGAATATGGAGGAACCAACAGGTTCCAGATTCACTGGTATCAGATGTCGCTTTCTCTAATCCAGAGAGTGAAAAGGTTTACAAGGCCGGCTGCCAGACTCTAGCCATGCTACACATTATATTACTTTGTGGGATCTCCCACCTCCCCTGGGGTGAATCATATCACAGATGAAAACAATTTATTGGCTCAGGCCTCTGTGCTTTCTGAATTGGCAATGGTGTTTCTATTCATACGGCACAGTGGATAGTGCTACAGTAAGTCAAGATGGTGGCTATTAAAATACATTTGTAAAAAAAAAACATAAGAGAAGCCAACCATGAAGAGCATAACAAAGGTAAGAGTGCATACAAATTTTAACCTAGAAACAAAGGGAAAACTGCATTAACTTTCCAAAAGACAACACAGTGAATTCCTGCCTAATTCCGCATATACGGGACTCTTTCACTGTACTGTGCATTGCATCGCTGCGCTTTAATAAAGAAGTACTACGATTTATTACTAAAAAACTTAAAATTTCAATTACATTTCAAAATAAAGGACTGTGGGAGTCTGTTGCTAGCTGCCTATGTTGCTGAAGCAGATACCCTGGCTTCTTTCATGAAAGGGGTGAATTACTTCCTTGGATCAACTAGCTACTATCATGCCAGATGGGCTGAATGGTCTCCTCTCATTTGCAACCTTTTTGTATGCTCTAAAATATTAATTTACATATCACTCAGCCAAATTCACCAAGAAGGTCTTTATTTTCAGAGATTTGAATGACGATGTTGTCCTTACATGATCAATAACCGAGTAACAAAGGTGGGGTTCCATGACTAACAGTTTTTGTCTAGTTAAATTTAAACGTTTTTTTGGAACAGCAGTGAAGCCAGGAAGCACAGGAAGAAGTACAGGAAACCAGGGAGCTCACAGAACTACAGTACATAGGCCCAACTGAGAGGCTCTAGAAGTTAAACTTCTTTTAAGACTGCCAACACAATGATGTGAGCACAGTGCTGCTGTGCTTGGTTCCAAGACCTCAGGTGACCATCCTTGATCATTTTGGCAAAGTTCATTCACATTTCAGTCCAGGAACTTCACCAAGTCTAAGATGAATCAACCGAAGCACATCAAAGTGGGATTCTTAAAAGTTCATTTTTACCACAGAATTAACCAAGCATAATTACCCCACTCAAACCCACCATCCCCAATTCTCAAACTTGATTTTAATTTTTTTTTCTTTGAATGACCTTTTTTTAAAAAAACGCATCTTCTCATACTGTAAATCACAAAACTGAAACAAGCAATGTTAAGTTTCTATTATGCACTAGTCTGCCCAAAAGCCTGTCTGAGGTGATGGATATTAATTACAGATCATAAACCATCATAAGGAAACATTTTTAATCCACCAGCTGTTAGATTCAGAAATTTGAATTGAGTCTACTTCCAAAAAAAATACAAATTGAGTCATTTCTAATGTTACGCAATTAATAAGACACTTTCCGAAAACATTTAATGGTCAAACTCTTTTTCTGAAGAATTGGCTTTTACAGTAATAAACACACTCCTGAAATGTGCATGTTACACATCACATCGTGCTTATACACAGGTTAAGGCGATACCTTCCAGCTGAAGTGCTTGGAGGTGCGGTGCTCGTAATGCAGTACATACCAAGTCATCTGCTGTCACTGGCTGACCTTTCCTGTCACTGCCAACCACCATCTTGCCAAGTCTCACTTTCATATCAGCCAACCCGTCTGTCAAGGCCAGGATGGCCATGATCTCACTGGCAACGGCGATGTCAAACTGAGTCTGCGAGGACAAAATAAAAAGAGTTCTATATTAAAGACCCCGAGGGAGCTTCTCAAATAATGTACAAAATACAATTTAAGTTAAATCTAGGCTTCTCTGAGCTCCTCCTAAATGTGCCACAGATTAAAGATTGAGAGCATTTAGATATTGGACAATAATGATGTTACACGCATATATTTGCAGAGCAATTATATATCATGAAGCAAAGAAGACATTTGAATGTCCTTGAGAGCTATTTAGACTTAAAACTAGAGTAGGTAAGCAAAGAAAGATCAAAGTATCCATTGCAAGGTGTGAGGGCACCTCAGTAAGGGTGTTTGCCCACGTTCACATGATCTAGGTGCTACGAGTCATGTGTCACGTCAATTCTGCTATCAATAGGGAGGAATTAGTTAGTCAAGGTTTTCTTGGCAACACATTGACTCCAGCGGCTTCCCAGGCATTTGCAGGGTGCAAAACAGCTCTCCTACTTTTCACCGCGTAACCTTCATTACGTGGCTGTGACTACTGTGATGTGCTCAAATAAAACAAGAGACTCGAACATGGGCAGGTTTTCGCTAACTTCTCATTCTCTCACGTGTGTGGTTACAGGGTGCACAGCGGTGAGCCGGGACAAAAACATACAAAATCGATAATAAAACATGAATCCAACTCAGGTGAGCATATGACATCTAATAACCGGCAATTCTAAATTACTGAAATAATACGCAGTGTTAGAAATATGTTCTAAATGTGTCAAGAGCCGAGCCCACAGTCTTTTAGGCAAAATTTTAATAATTCAGACAATCCCAACCTCACAGGATATTGAGTAACACAGGTATTACATACAATATTTTGTCTATTCTTTAATTTTATATTTCTCCTTTCTGGATTTTAACACCTTTTTTGATAAAACAAGTGCCTGAAATTACAGAATTCTCTGAATGCTACAAAGCGAGTTATTGAGGACAGCAGTTAAGCATACAGTAAATGCAAACATATGCTTTGCCTTGTATGTTTTTTTATAGAAATATTTCAGCAAAAGAACATTTGCTTTCACTTATATTATTTCCCCATGCAGGTGTAGTGTTTATTTGTATTACCTCATTCAGATTTCATCAGACTGGCAACTACTGAAATATAATAGCAGGACACTTATTTTTTTATGTGTGTGCTTTATAAAAAAGACTACATGCCAAAACATGCCCATACTGCATAAACAATTCTTTTTGATTGGACAAAGAGTATTTGAAATATTTGTGTGGCTATATACATATAACAAATCTTACAATTTCTGTTTTTGCCGAGTTCAAATCTTTGAAGTTACCATACTGTGCATTTGGAATACATTTTATAATCACACTCAATTATAAGTTACTTACCTGACGAATGTGTCCCTTTTCAGTGTTTGCCTGACCAATGGTTATTTTCCTTAAGAACCGGTCGTTTGTATCTACAACTGAAACATGGACATGAAAAAAATAAATATTCTGAATGAATACATTGAATAATGTCTTTTGGGTTGTTTTTATAAAACTGCCTACAGCAGTGTTATTTTCATTTTTGTTTACTTAACATTTAAGATCTTTTTAAGACTTAAAATTGAAAACCTGCTGTGTCTGATTTTCTGCATATTTGCACATTTTTCACAGCGAAACTCGTCAGATCTTTTCATGGGTTGTAGTAGTACATAGAGAAGAGTCTGAGAGAAAAAAATGACACCAACTGAAAGAAGCACGAAACTGTGCAAGGGAATCAAACACACAATCAAACGGGTATAAAAAAAAAGTTATTGCCTTCCTAGTGAACTCAACCCAATTAAAGGGATAATTAGGGTCAACTGTTTGAATACTTGGGTTGACAATCTGGCCTGATGTATCTCAGCCCCGCCCTATATAAATTTGACTAACTTTGTCCCTTACCAGCAGAGTGAAGTTGTCAGATGATGGGTTTTAGAAACGCATCATGCCAAGATCAACCAGTTACTGAGTCCAAAGGGGCAATTTCTTTTTCACATGGGTGTTGCATAACTACCTTGAAGTATCACAATTTTGTGTTATTTGTTTACTCAGGTCCCTCATATCTAATATTACATTTTGGTTGAAGATGTGATAAAATTCACAAAAAATAATGCAGAAAATCAGAAAGGAGGCAAATACTTTTTCATGGAACCGTACATTTTGGCATTTTGTTTATGTTAGAATGCAAAATCAGTGTTTTAACGGGTTATTCACAATTCACAAAAACAACTGTGAATAAAAAACATTAAAACACAAAGGAAACTTAAAATGATTTTATATTACAGTATTCAAGATCCCACTAAAAACGAATCCCATATTCAGCATTAATGTAGACTCTCATCCTCCTGTTCATACCTCTCTGCCATGTGATAGTCGAGGGGTCAATGTCAAGGCGTACAAACGAGTTAATCTCCTCCGGGGTCAAACTCTCAGGGTCCGTCTTGTTGATGCCCAGTCGCTAGACGGTGCAAACAAAGAATTAAAATATTAATACGTTACATGTGAGCAGTTCCGATCCATTCATAATCTCTTCCAATAAGTCAACAGAGGACTGTAGAACTTCAAACTCAATATTCTCAACACTATCTCATTTCTCAGGTTTCCTTTGCTAGTGGCAATACAGTACATAATATGTTTGCAAATCCCCGATGATCAGTAATACACCAATTGAAAAAAAAGTAATTCACTTAAAATTCACCACACCTTGGCCAGACAGAGTACAGGCTGCAAATGTACAGAAAAGTTTTTTTTTTCTCCAATAGCCATCCATGAAGTACAGTCATGGAAGTCAGAAGTAGAAAATTATTTAAAAAATCTAACAGAAAAACATTTTGTTCTGACAATGCAGACATTTCAGTGAAAATTCTGCTTTTTGAATAATTATGGCTTACAGAAGAATTATTTTAATGTGGCCATTAACATTTAAACATGAAAGTGTATTTGACTTTAGAACCTTGTAACAAGTATTGTTATTATTAGCGTGTATTTCAAAAACAAGAACGGCAACAAAAAATGAAATACTAAAGTATTTCCTCTTCTAACAATGACCACATAACTCATCACCTTAAATCTTGTGGAATTTCATTTACCTTGATTTAAATTAGATATCATATCTGGATATCTATGGGTAGAATGAACAACAACTGTCTGTATACTACACATCTATATCAAAGATCAGGAAGTGTGACAGAATTTACAGTAATAGAAATGATGTTATTAGTGAAAGATTACAGTTTATCTTGGCACAAAAGAATAGGCCCCAGAAATCACCATTAACTACTCAACATGAGTGCTGTAAGGCATGGGATCAGAAAGGAGAATAACTCAAATAAACACCTGCTTCTCCCCTTTGCTCCACTGCAAGACAAGCAGGTTTCAACTTGTGGAGGAAGGAAACTGTCGGACATTTCTTTAAAGCACAAACACTGAAGGATAAGTGGTGCTACATTATAGCGCTGAAAATAAATATATCACATCTCACCATATAACTTCAAATATCTGAAAATATGTAATTACGTACTTTAATTTACTAAGGACGTTCACTGTAAACTTAAATTTGCCCGTATTTCTCAGATAAGGAGAAAGGGGAGTCACATTTAAGCACAGGCTCTAGACAAGTCATCAAGTGTTATGCAGAAATGCAACTGAAACAGTCCATTTCGTTTCACCACTGGAAATATTTGGTTTCTCAGATAATCTCTGAAAAAGCCAGTACTGGTTTATTGCTTAAGCACTCCCGACTCTTAAGGCCTCAGCATCCCATGATCTTTGATGGCGCCACGACACATCTTCCATACTTACTAATATTTTACTAATAGATGAACTTTACAACTGCTAAAGCAAAGTCCAACTGTTTAACCTTTTGTGTTAAACTTTACATCAGCTACTTCTAGGAGCTTCATGCTGTCATTTTCCTTATAGTAAGTTCCCTTTCAGAAAGTGGTATCACGGACCACATACCAATTTTGTGACTCTAAACAGCAGTTTAGCAACATGGCAACAACACTGACAGTAAGAAGAGCAAACTTGCTACTAAACTGCTCATATATCCTTTTCAACACAAAACATGGATCCTTGAGGCAAATCACGCAGGGTTTCCCACAGGAAAAAATTATCAGGCCAAAGTGGCACATTAACGTTAGCCCTCCCCCACTTAGCTACTGTAGCTTACTGTACGAGTATCTTATTACTGAAACTAAACATTATCGTGATCAAGACTATTTCGGCCACAACAGTTAGTTTAATTGTATAGGATTCATCAAGGATGCAGGCTATCAATAATGAGAACAAGTTTTGTGATTGATGCTTTTACTGTTTTTTGCATCATAGAGCATATTGTGCGCGTTTCGCTATCGAGGGACTGTTATTATTTTGTGCTCTTTGACGCAAAATTAAGTGGCTCCCACTCCCTTTATTATTCTTTAGAAATGATGCTTCTCACCAACTTTTGCAAGCAACAAAGGGACACTATTTTTCTGTGACCCAGAATTTCAGCTGCGAGGATTACTGATTCAGTATTATGTCCATTACTGATATAGCTCTCAAGATTCCAAGACCATAATACATGATATTTACAAGAACTGTGATTGTGCAATATTTGCATTGCCGGTTTCTTTAATTCCCGTTAAGAAAACAAAAAAGCATTGATTAAATTAATGGAACCACAAGTCTCTATGACTGTTTCAGAATTTTCCATCCATTACTTTGTTTTTTAATCCCCGTAGACTCGATGCAAATGCAGAAGAGTTTCAGATCAAGGGATGAAACCGCGAGATTTGGTCTCAATGCACGAGACGTCAGAGCTATGTGATTACATACTGTACCGCTGCGGCTGCTGGCTGGCAAATGACCTTCCAGACTACGAAACAGTATTTCAATATAGATTCTTGTGCCCATTCTGTCGGCATTCAAGCACTGGTTTGGCCAGGCAGCCAGCCTGGCCTCTACACAACTGCAGGAACCATTGACTGTATTTGTACTAGTGGTGTGCACTAAAAAAGTGGTCATTGTCCCATTGCGGCCATATAGTGAAGTGTATGGTATAGGAACAGTACGCAATTAAAGCACTTCACAAAAAAAAAGCTTGCACCTTATAAATATGAGGATGAAAATTCTAAGTGAAATCACTGAATTAAATCATGCAAATAAATGCTGAAAGAAAATATTAGCCAAATGCTCTTTCTATCTAAGGAGTAGCCCAATCTTGTTTCCTAATACATGGTGTGCATGGCCACTATCCCAATGCGGACACATACAGTAGCGAAGAAGCGACTTGCTCTGTGCTTCCAGGATAAGCTGTAGGATGCCTCAGCCCTTACCAGGAATAATCAGCCTTCTGATAAGAGATATACGGTCACATGACGTTTCATGTGCGCACTGGAACTGCCTCAAAATGCAGAGACTACTTACTTGCAATCTGGCAATCTGTATGGAGGAGAACTTTCTGACTCCGTTGACAGAAGGCACAAGTCTGTTGTACAATGCCTGTTAAAAAAAGAATAAAAAACTTTATTTTCTCCGAAATTAGCGTTAATATACGCCAAGGAAACTTGTTACTGCAGAGTCCACAGTAAAACATTCTGCTGTGGCACCAGACGCTACCTTGTCCGACTGAGTTGCTTCATGAAGAACCCTGGCATCAATTGCTGCTGCTAACAGGTTGTTGGCCGCTGTGATTGCATGGATGTCTCCCGTCAAGTGAAGATTGAACTGTAAAGGAAGCCTTCATCAATATATATTCATTATATGAAAATAAGAGCAGTCATGAGTCAATGCTTTCTCAATACCATATGACTCTTTGTAGCTGTAACTCTATTTATTGGTAACGGTAAAAAATTGGAACAACTGAAGGTCCTTAAAAAATAATGAAGTGCTGCCAAACATTTATGTCAGGGTTATTTTACATTTGGATTTACCAATGGTTGCCTATTTAAAAG